ACTCTATTCTTCCTTCTGACCTTTTCATTTTTAGTGCCCCAAAACATAAAAAAACTATAAACTATTTGCAAATAAATTTTGAATATTATATGCTAATTTTGTACTCCCCAAATATGCTCTTATCTGTATAAATGTATGCAATAGTATACTAACTTATTATAAATACAATTAAATTACACACAAAGTTATTGAAATGATAAAGATATTTTCTTATCTTTATATATTACAGTATCATATGCACTGTCTGGATAGAGTATGCTTTGAGAGCCAAACTACCATTATTTGCTATTTATGTTGAACATGCATAGAAAATCAAGGACCCAGGAAAATGTACACATTTTGTGTCTCATGATTCCAGGTAAAATAGTTCAGGGACTCTCTAGGAACTCAAAGAACTCTGCCCTGGATACATTGCAACTGTAGACATTGCCAGCTTCAGAACATCCCAGAAACAGTGTAAGAAATGCAACACACTGAAACCACTAGCAAGACATAAGCAGCAAAGCTTGATTCAATATTGTAGTGACTCCTAAATAATCTGATAGCACAGTTCACAAAAACGTGGGTTTCATGTAGTTCTCACTTGTTCCCTCCTTTCCTGTGTCTTTCTTTTCTAGTCTTTCCTTTTACCCCTTTTACCTTTCTTTCTTCCTTCTTCCCTCACTTCTTCCTCACCTCTCTTTACTTTCTCCTCTCCTTCGCCCTCCAAAACACCAGCAAACCAGCTCCACCTACTGGTTCTTTCAAAGACGTCATGTGTAAGCATAGTTTAAGAAAATGGAGATGCTGTCTGACACATTAACAGAAATAATTTTATTACCCAAATTTTAGTATCTGAGGCTTTATCAATGTTAATAACCAGGATCATTTTTATAATGTGGATTTAACTCAGAACTTACTTCCAAAGGTATTCAAATGGCATACGTACCATGTTAACACCTTCTATTTTCAAACAGTTGCTATGTTTTCACCCTTACTACAGTCACATCCAACTTCTGCCTTTTGATTTGCTTCTTCCCTAACCCATTGTAGTTGCTTTAAGGCCCCTTCCTTGACATTTTTTTTCATATCTTTGCCTCACTCCTTAACTCTGTTACCTCTTTTCTTATCAGACTACCTATACCTCCTAAGGTGGTTTGCCTATTTTTTCAATTATCACCTCTACAAAAATAATTGCTAAGTGTGTTACTTGGTTGAACTTCTAAGCTGAGCTGCAGCCTCACATTCCTAAATACTAGCACAGAAGACTTGCAGGCATTTCTAGCTCATTAAAACGACTCTTCTGGGTTGTTTGTTAATGGCATCGAACATGTTCTAGCTATAGATTTATTTAACAAACCATTCCATTTTAGTGACACATCGCAGTAACTATTTTCTCACGTCCAGACGGTCTATGAGTCATAGATTTCAATAGGGCACAAAAGGGAGGTCTTGTTCCCGCTGCACAAGCTAAGTTGTCAGCTAAGACTGGCTTTTGAGGTTATAAGGAAAATATGAATTCTCCTTCATATTACTAAAGCGGGCAGGGGCAAAGGCAGAGTGGAAATATGAAAAGTAGGTGCTTGTTCTTTGCTTCCTAAAAATACATTGCATTTATGTATATCTTCATATAAATAGTGTGCAACAGTGATGATGGACCTCGATCCTTCAATAACAAACAGTCCACTACAGCATGTGTGCCACAGAGTCATCACCACTGGCATATAAAATAAAATTAAATACATATTAGAAAATAAAAACTATTTTCAGCAAATGTTAGTTTGTGGTATTACAGATAGTAATTAAAATATCTGTTGAGGATATTTACTAAACCAGTTCAGATACAACATGAACTACCAGAAATTAAGTTGGCTCAGACTTGCATATCATACTCATAGTTAGAATGTCAAGAACCCAGGGTGGAACAAATTCTAGAAGGCTTGTAGCCCCACTGAATTGGAGAATGAAAGTAACAATGACCTAACCTAAGCATCAACATGAAGGTTTTAATTTGTAATGCATTATTTACTTGCTGTTGAATAACAGAGGCATTCAACCTGCTATGTTATCAAACTTAAGTTTGATAGATTTCCAACTATTCTATAAGCAAATCCATCTGTGAAGGGATGATACCACAATTCTAAATGACTACGAAGTCCATTTGCTTGCCTAAGTGGTTATCTTTCTGTCAACTCATTGGAACCACAGTGGGTTAAATTCTGTCAAATAATATATCCAAACATATTTTGAAATGTGGAAGGTTATTAGCAGGTGAGAGATATTTTAAAATACTGGTTCAGTGGGTAGAACCAGGTACCTTGATGAAAATATGGAATGTGGTTTAATTACGTTGCTCTGCTGACACGTTGAGTTTAAAACCACCTGTAGAAACTAGTCTGTTAAGTTTTATGTTGTACAATATGCAACTTGTTCCCTATAACAAAAAAGAATTAGTCATTTGTAAAGAGCTAAGCTTCATTAACTGGAATGTGTTACATAAGATTTATTATGACATTAGAATTTAATGTGTATTTCTTTGGGAAGAATTAAATTTTACATGTGGTTTCAATTACATAATTAATGCTTCTGGTAGGAAAAATACACCCTTGAAAACAAAATCTATATGGGCTTTAAAGAAAAGTATATTGGTAACCTCTGCTTTTATAGACTACAAATAAGATGGTTATACTGATAGCCATCCCACACTAATTTTGGAAACACAATACATTGAAAAATAATGTTGGAAAACAAAACTTAACAGGTCATTCATAAGGCGGTATTATAAATAAAGGAAAACATCTTAAATATCTTGTACAGTGTTGCGTACACTGAACAACTATGTGAATACAGATTGTGGTGAAAGCAATACTAAAAAGTGCTGAAAGGATATAAGACATTGTTTCCAAAGGATTGCGAGAGGGGATCTGAACAGGACATGAAAAGGACAGGAGTATGTGAGATTCTAACGAGAGAGCAGCTCTAGGAGGATAAGCCAGATAGGATGTCATTCTGAGATGGTTAAAAAAACAGTCTTATATTGAACCACATGAGAAAAATATAGAAGTCTGAAAAAAAAAAAATCAAGAGACCAATGGTGGGGTGTACTGAATGTGAGGTAAAGTTTAAAACCCTTTTAGTAGAAGTGCCCTGAATCTTTCATCAGGATAGTAACAATGGAATTTGGGATAATAATTCTGAAGGAAAAGAATGGAGGTAAGATATTGGGAAAACTTAAGTGAGAGATACTATGAGGTCAAACTAGGGTGCTGGCAATAGGAAGAAGGAAATCAGATGTCTCAAAGGCAGAAACAGGAACTGACTAGAGCAATGAGGAAGAGTCAAATCTATTTTGTGGTTTTGGCTTTGAAAAGCTAGGAGATGGTTTTGAAGCCACAAATTTTTTGACGCCTCTCCCCTAAACAGTTGGGATTGAATTCTTCCGCTTGAATCCAGAACTAGCTTTAGTGACTCACTGTGCCCAGGGAAATGTGGAAGAAGTGACCTCAGAGAATGAATCAGAAAATCAGGTTCTGCCTTGTTTTGTAGAATACATGATCTGATGTACCCGAAGGCTCTGTGCCCTACAGTCTGAGGTGGACTTTGCCATGACTTACCCTAGCCTAGGCACAGATGTGCAGGTCCTTTCTGTGCTGATAAATTTCAACAAAAAAAAACACAAGTGGAAGGGTAAATCCCAAAGAAACACATTATTTGCCTTTCAGATCTGGGACTCCTTAGAGTGCAGAATGATTTGTCTTAAATAACCAGTGAAACAGATGTACCATGGTTTGCATTCCAAAGGTTCATGGGATAGAAGCTTGGTCCTCAGAGTGGTAGTACTGAGGTGGTGAAATTTTTAAGTCATGGGGCCTACTGTGAAGTAATCAGGTCAGTGAGGGCCACTACCCCTGTAGTGATTACAGCTGATCACCTAGAGAGTAACTGTAACAGGACACCCCCCCCCCCAATGCTTGGTGCCCTTTGCGGAGACCATTGGCCTTCCCACTTTGCTGCCATGTTGAGACAACCAAGGCCCTCACTAGAGGTCACACCTATGGAGCCATCAAAACTTGGAATTTTAGTTTCTAAAATTATAAAATAATGAAATGTCTCTGCCTTGTAAATCACCCATCACTGGTTGTGTCTTTAAAAGGAAAAAACCAAATTATTACAGTGGGTAAGTTGTGTGTAGGGCAGTAGACAGCTGCTCCAGAGCACTTACATCTCACTCCCTAGAGTCCAATGACCATAACTATCATGTGCAAGACAACAGGACTTAGGTGCGCAGGACACTCATATGTGCACCCTACTTTAATAGACTCAAAATAGACATCAAGAAGAATCTAAGAGAAATTTACTTTGAAGAACAGCAGAAATGTATTTTTTGCTAGTTATGTAATTGAAGTTTCCAGATATAGTTTCATCCTTAAAAAAATCCAAGGTTCCTGAACAATATGCAAACAGATGCACAGAAAAATTATGAAGTTTCATTTTCATCCAGTGTCCAAACTCGAATAGCCACAAACACAATAGCCAATAAACACAACTAAATAGACCAGTAGACCTACAGAAATGGCTCTTTTTAAAAAGTTAATCGTGTATCCTTGTATGTCTATATTTGTTCACAATATCAGTTTTCTAGAAGCATCATTCACATTCAATAAAACTTTGTTAAGTTTGAGTATTGATAAATCTATAGAACCTAAAAACCTCTGCCACTATCAACATTCAGAACACTTCAATCACTTTAACAATATATTCTTTTATCCCCTTTCACTACCTAGTCTTTGTCTCAAAATAAAAAATAAAAAGGACCAGAGATATAGCTCTTTGTGAAAGCCCAGAGTTCAATCCCTGATACAAAAAACAAACCATAAAACCACTGTAAAAACTGATTACAAATCTTGTATTTCTCTTAAATAAATACCTAGAAATGAAGGACTATTTCTGTTCTGAGAAATATGTTTTGCTGCATCAACTATCCCAACAAAATAAAGAATACAAATACTTATTATACTGTCTTATTTTTCACAATAAAATTTATTAGTGGATCTGCTATAAACAGTTGAAGAATTCATTTATTTTTTCTAGTACTTAAAAGAGCCACATATAATCATACATGTCCAACATATTCAGGGTAATGTTTAAAAATATGTGTACATGCTTTCTTACAAACTTTGATAAATCATAATCAAGTAAAATAATATGTTCACATTATTATATGAATAAACAAGTCATATATTAAGAATTCTGTTTTTCTCTTAAGAATAAAGAAGTTACAGAATTGCTAATTTGAATTTCTCATTTTATTTTCCAAGTAAAAAGCATTTCCTAAGGAAAATTCACATTCTAGGATTATTCTTAGTCAAAAGTTTCATGTAGAAATATCTGGAACAGAAAACTAAAGTATGAGAATCCAGGAACACAAGCTTTCAGTTTCAAAAGTACTGAGAATTCCAACATTAATGAATTTATCCACAAAAATCAAAATTACAACTTAGGTGTTCCTTTTTTAAATGACAGTAGTGTCACATTAGAGTCAAAATCTGTAAGTAATGACTGAATTGTAACATATGCAGATAAATTTTAACTGGTTCCAAATGTCTATCATTATACAAATTCATGTTTTACAGTATTAAGGCCTCTGAAGAAAAATGATTATATCAGAGACATTAACAATGACAAAGAACAAATTCTGCCTTCAAATTGCTTTGTATAATTGCCAAGAAGTCTCAACTTCACTGCATTAATAAAGATAAAATATATCTCATGACAGATTTCTGTGGGAGAAACGAAAAATTTTAAAGAATAAAATACAAAAACAAGATGAAGAGTTTTCAAGTACATAGTATGTTAATTACTTGGAAACTCAATGTCAAATTCAGTAAACTAGTCATATGAAATGATTCTAAAAGTGTGTGTTTTACACTAATTGACTCTGACATTCTGCCATCCCACCACACATCACTGACAGCATCCATCTTACCAGAGGACAAGAGGTCCACAGGGGGCCAGAGGACAAAACCAGAGAGCTAAGGCGCAGGGAACTAAGTGCCACACAGTGGCAACAGTGGCCAGCCAGTGGAGCGGGGCACAGACTTGTGACCTCCAAACCCCACACAGCTGCTCGGCCTGCATCAATGCACCCAGTCTCTGGGATGGCGCAGAACTTCCAGAATTTCAGCTTCTTTAGAATTCTCCGAGGGTGAATGCATGTATTCCCATCTGTGCATGTCCAAAGCAGAAGGAAAAAAAACATATAAGAAGTGATAAAAATGACACAATAACTGTTAAATGAAAAATAAAATCCTAGGAGTAAAAAAAGTCTTAGAATACTTTGTCTCTACTGTACTTACTTTGCCTTGCACCAACAAGACCTTTAAAAAATATTTGCTGCTAAAGAAATAGTTTCCTAGTAATTCTTGAGCACACTTAGGTAATATTAATATCCAGAGCTAAAATATACTTCTGTTGTAAACTAGAGCTTCATGAAGTATAGCACTTCATCACAAATGTTGCATAATTCCTACACAAAGCTCTTCCAGGCAAATAACCAGTAGGAGAGCTCAATCTGGCCCTCTGCACTGCTGCCTCTGGCTCCTGTACTCTCTCCTGCTGCCATGTGAAGCTATGTCATATATCCTGTCAGCCTTTATAAAACCCAATTTAATTTTTCTGAATTATTAACCATAATTTTCTCATAAGATCAGCAAAATCAAAACCAAAGAAATCTTAGGGAAGACACACCACTGTTAACATTCACATTTTGTGGGGGTGAAGGAGCTGGAACAGGCAGACGACTACCATGATGAGTTTTTTCCTTACCTGGCAGTCAGAGGTAAAGACATCAAGATGCTTTCAATCCTGGATCCTGGAGTGAAGAGGCCAAACTTTGTTCCTCGATCATACAGCAGATTAAATTCTACATATCTGAAATAAAGACATCAGATGACATAAAGGGTCTGCTGAGTAAAATCTTTCAAAAGTCCTTTACAAATGCTTAAAAGAGGCATTCTTTCCCTGCCTGTCGGCTGGACCTAGCACAGACTACACCAGCTCAGCTTTTGCCATCTGGAAAACACAAAATAAATAAAGCAGTACTTTACCCACTAAACAATAAGATAGATTATGGCTCAGCATACAGCAGCTACTAAACAAGAGGGCTATGTGTTTCCATAAATAAACAGAATGGACACCAAGTTGGAAACTTCAAGGTGCTGAAACAATGTGCGAAAGAAATGGCATCCTTTTGAAGTTGGTAACACAGCTCTTCCTGGCCCTCCTCACAGAAAACGATATTCAGAGTGCAAGATTTCATTTCATCCCCTAGAATTCATGCTGCTACTATAAAGATAGTGTAAAACTTGTGTAACTGACAGTCAGGTAGAGCCATAAGTAATCCTTTAACAGTAATTAACATAGTCTAGATATTCCTCTTTTTTCAAGTAGCAATTATATGCTGTTGTGTAATGCATTCCTCCTGCAGATTAAAAACAATCATAATAAAAGATACAGATTTAGGGGCTGGGGATTTAGCTCAGCGGCATAAGTGTCTGCCTTGCAAGCAGACAGTCGTGAGTTCGATCCCTGATACCAATAAAAAGGAAAAAGACAAAAAAATAAAAAAAGATACAGATTTGACTTTCAGGGCTTAGGGGCTTCCTTCCTAAGGAAAATATCCTCAGCATAAACTAAAATTTGATTCAGTGTATTAACTTCCAAATTGTTCATTACATACTGTCACCTTTGGACTCTTTTCTCAAAGGTCTGTATTGTCCTTTAACATGAGACATAAAGTATCTCTTCTCCCCAATTTCAAAAGGATAACTTCTACCATCCAGAAAATTCAGAATGATCCATAAATCTGACAATTTCAATAAATAGTCCCCATTTGTGACCATTTCTCAACTTATTGAGAAACTACTCTCTTGGTCTCAATTTCTCTCAGACATCTTTACATCTTTGTTTACTATCTTTTTTGTGTTTTTGTTTTGTTTTGTTTTTGGTACTGGGGATTGAACTCATGACCTCACACTCGTCAGGCAGGGGTTTGTGCTGTTGGGCTAAACCCTCAGCCCTCTGTTTACTATCTTCAAGCCTCCACAGCAAAATATTCTCAAGAATCCCACTGTAACTTGCTTTGCAAAGTGATTTGTTTCTGAAGAATCATACAAAAGAATCTATAAAAATGCAACCAAGTATATCTCTGGGTCACTTTCTAGTTCTCGTCACTTATTTATCACTGTTTCATTTTCATGCACCAATGACTATTTTATACCTTTGCATGCATTTTGTAAGATAATCTGGATAAATCTTAACTTCTTCCTAAGACTATAGAAAAGAATTTCATCTCTCAGTTACCTTTTAGCTGAGACCACTACCTTGCTGAACATGAGCTGCAAGGATGGCTAACTTTTTAGTTTTATTTATCTATTTGTATTTGAAGAATTGGATCAAAGGCCCTTGTAAAAATTTCCCAAAATGAATTTCTACAGATCTTCATGTTCCTTTTACTTGTTTGAATGAAAGACAGCCTGACTCTCACCAGGTTTTACTTAGCTCAAGTATTTTTGATCCTTTCCATACATTTATCTCCTCTGAGATGCCTATGAATTAGGGCTTTAACCAACCTCTTCAACTTAACTAATGCCTACATTTTATCCTACTTTCTTTTCCCAAAGAAAAACTAAACTGAAATAAGTTAAAGGTCTTTAGTTTCTACGAAAAAGATGACTGTGCAACTGTGGTTCACATCTGGGGAGCAAATACTAGTAACTGAAGGCAAGAGACCAAGTGAAATGTCTTAGAAAGGGATTGTGCAGTCAAAAAAAGCCAGAATGACCACCAAAAGGGAGATTCATACGTGCAGGGGATAGACACAGGGAGAAGAGTAATCTGTAAAGAAGGCAGATAATGAGTAGAATAAAAAACAAGTCAGTGTTAATATCTGAGAGTCTATTATAAGGGAGAAGGTGGGTTTATCTTAAGCCTCAGAGTCTATTGCTATCTCAGTGCTTTAGGATGGTGGAAGGAAGCTCTCTTTGAAAAACAGTTATATACCACATCATAGAAAATTAATCTAACACTCCACACTTCTGCCTACCTAAAAAGACACACTGTGCGCGGTGGTGCCAACTGTAATCCCAGCTACTTGGGAGGTTGAAATAGAGGATTGTAAATTTAGCCTGTAAATCCCTATCTGAAAATAAAAAGGGCTGGAGAACGCAGATCAGGACTGGACTACTTTGCTAGCATGCATGAGGCCCTGGCTTCCCACTACTGTGGAAAGCAAAGCAAAAAAACAAAAACAAAACACCAGACACACAGTGATACACACACACTATCGTACTTTCAGAGTGACCTGTCGTCAAACAATGTAAAACAACAAAAAGAACAAAAAAATCATTATTCCTATAGCTAAGAAGTTCTAAGTGCTTCACATTATTAGTATTCACAAAATTTCCTAGTTTTCCAAATGAATCTTAAGTAACACTAGAACTCTTTACTTTCTAGAGTTTGAAGTTATTCTCTTAGATGTATCTTGTCACTAACAGGTGAGCCTTTTTTCAACAGGTTGTGGTAAACCCACCTTGCAGTTAAGATAGTGCCTAACTATATAAGGCCCGCGATACATGTTCAGTGAAGGAAGAAAACAATGCCAATGGAACAATTGAGAAATTATGGAAGAAAATGTCCCCAAACATATATTTAAAAGTGTCTAAAAATAAAATTTAACCAAGACTCACTGTGTCAAATTGTTAATGGGAATAAGATAGCAAAAGCAATTATAAAAACAATACATACAAACATTTATCTTTAGACTTGGAACATAAATTTCAATTGGAACTCTTTGGTGCAATATCTTTACCTTCCAAGGGGCCAAAGCTTTTTGTGCCTAAGGGAATTAACATGAATCAGAAAATGTATTTTATAGCTATGGACTCCCTTAAGAACACAATGAAAAAGTCATGTAAACTGGCAGAATGAATATTTGAAATTCATTCACAAATATAACATGACTGAAATAACTCAGCCAACTAGCTCACCAAACCCAATGCACAGAGAACATGGCTGAGTATCACAGTGAGTACAAACCTGCTTCCACTACTTAACTTCCTGTGTGTACTGAAAAGATTAAGCTTTCTGGTCATCTAGGATGACCAGTTCACTATCTGAGATCTTGTATTTGTCAACTGTAACATATTGCGCAAGGAACTTGCCTTGCTGAATACATTTTATCATGTGGAATATGACACACACACCTATCTCCCAGTTCTGGTGAGACAAAGAGACGCAAAACACCTGCATGGGGGCTGCAAATAGCAAGTGCTCCCAAAATTCCTATTTATTACTAAAGTGTAAATAATTTCTGCAATGATTCTTATTAAAACAACTGTCATGACATCTTTAAAAAGTACATTTCTGAAACTTACAAATCACCAGAAATTGAATAATGTCCACACCCTAGCATTAAGTGGAGGACACTGCCTAAAAACTAAAAGAAATAAGCTGAACTGAACTTAGCAATCACTAACTACATGTCTACTATGAGTTTCTACCTAACAGATGAATTGACTAAACTTTATTTTTGAAATAAAGTATACTATACAAATTTTTTAATTTCTTTTTTAATATTCATCAGCTACAAAAAAGTAGGGTGCATATGCACATGATTACTGTAATGCATCTACCGGGGACAACAGAACATCATTAGCATAACTGCTCTACTTCCCCCACTTATACTGGGGAAAGTTTATTCTCTTGTTACTCACCGTCCTCGTCTGAGCTGTTGCCACAGCTTCTCTTGGGGTGTGAATGAATCCTCACAGTGCTTTTTCACAAGGGGAATGTAAGAAGGAACCACAGCCTGGGCACAGCTCTCCACAAAACGGAACACCTCCTCCTTGGATGGTGAGTCAAGGTCATCAAAAAAGATACCACCGATGCCTCTCCGCTCCCCACGATGGGTTATAAAAAAGTAGTCATCACACCTGGAAAAATCAGGAAAGTCAAATCAGGGACTAGAAGGGAGTAAAAAAGACACACAAATCAATGTGGACCTTGCAGTTCAGAGCAATCTCCTTGACTAGTACCAGGATAATTTTACTCTGTGTCTAAGTATAAAAATGAAACTAGAACTTCAGACAAATTTTCTGCAGAAATAGCAAATGTAGAAGATCCTTATATTCTTATCTGTAAAGGAATCTAGGCAATTTCATAGAAATCTACCTGAAACATATAGAGCTCTCAGAACTTTGGTGAAAAGAGCCATAGAGTTCAAGGTTTTCACTGTACTTCTTGAAATAAGTGAAGCCGCTTCCCTTGGAAACACTGCTGCTTCTGGAGGAGGCAGGAGAATCAGAGCCTTTTAAGAATGACACCAACCAGGGTACAGATCGGAGCTCTCTTAAATTAGCTCTTTATTTCCCAAAGAGGTAGGGTAAACAATTCCAAGGTATTTCTCACCAGTAAAATATGAAGAATAGACAGCATGGACAACACAGAGAAGGGCTGATAGAAGAGAATATTCTGAGAATATGTCTTGAAACAGGTTATGGCTTATCCTTGTGAGCCAGCACATGAAGCTACTAGTTATTTCTTGAGTCTTTCACCTTTACATCTATGAAAACAGGCTTACTAAGAAATCCCCCATGAAATGTTAAATTTGTAGAATAGTTTACAACCTGGAAATAGTTCTTTTAATGATCTTTATGGTAAAAATTCCTAATCAGAAAAAATTGTTCAAACAAACAATACTTTTCTAAAAAACTCATCTTAAACTCAAAAGACAAAAAAGCACCAAAACACTAGAACTAATACACTGATATAAATCACTTCAGTTTTGACAGGCTGCCTTTCCTTTTTATGTATATCCATAAAAAGTATATCTGAACAGCTTGAAAACTTTCTTCAATCCAAATCACATTATTTCAAGATTTTAATTCATAAAGTTACAAATTAACTTTATGAAATACATTATTTCTTTGAAAGACACATACTTTAAATATTGTGTTAACTAATTCTGCTAAACCTTATCTCAGTAACTATAAGAAACAAAAAAAGGTACTCCACCGGTCTACCTCCTGCTAGGATGTTGAGTTGTAGGACAAAGAAAAAATACCTATATTACATGTATATACACTGATCCACAGCTTGTAGTTTTCACTGTGATATTAAATCAGGAAAAAAATATTTCACTGTGATATTAAATCAGGAAAAAAATATGCAAATGTTTTTATCTTTTTTGAGGATCTTAGAGGAAGCTCAGTGCTTTTGCACAAATGAGATCAACATTCCATAATTACTAACTTTAAAAACAAAACAAAGAACAGAACCCTTCTGTTCTTCCTTTGTTAAGAATAGCAATGAGCTCTGAGTAAAGCTGAGTTTTTTACTCTCATTCCAAACAATTTATACTGGGAATCTATCTAATTTCTAACAAGCATCTGTATTTTTTCAAAATTTGTGGCTTTCCTTACTCTGTCATTAGAATTTCTTCAAAAAAGTCTTCAACGTTACTGTTCTTTTCTAAAATCTTGGAACATTAGTATCCCTCCCTAAAGATTTTCTAACCATTCCTATACCCTTACACATTTTTAAATCAACATCAGGACCATAAGTCTCATGTGGCATAAGAATGTAATATCCCACCTTAGGATCACTGAGCCTATGATTCTCAGGCACTAATCATCTTACAGTTTAGAATTAAACATTCTAAAAATCTGGAATCAAAAAAAGATGATGCTATACAATATATATTATAGACATCTGAATATTACAAATATTTCTAAGCAAATTATTTAAGCCACTTAAAACTGTTATTCCATGTCTTCTGTTGAACAAATAAGAAACCAGGAGTCCAGTCTTCATAAACTGATAAGGTGTTTACTGGCATAGTATGTAGTTGCTTTAAAGACACACAAAATGGATTGGGAAATTCTTCTGGGGTTATGAGGCATTCATTACCTTTACCTACCATTTTTTAAATTTGGGGTAGAGATCTGGACCATGCTGGTCACAAGCCTCCTTTAGAGTTCGGTGAAAATGGACAGCATCTTCGTGATTCAAGTACGTTGGTGTGAGGTCACATCCACCACCAAACCACCACTGTTTGTTACCTACACAAACCAAGACATGGATTCAATGCACTCTGACGTTTGGGACACTATTAACTACATCTGCAAACTTAATACAGTAGCTTAACTAAATATGAAATAGGTGGCAATAAAAAAAAAGTGAATTAAATTTAGCTCTGCAGACCAATGAGGCCTAGAATGGGAACAAGAGGTAAATTTACACAAAAATGGAAGAAGGAAATTAAAGAGGAGAATCAGACAGAAATGATATGCAGGGCGATGAATACCAATACAGATAATATAATTAGTGAACCTCAAAACTAGATGCACAATGAAATCAATATGAAGACCTTAAATACCTCTACTAGATCACAATTTTATAAAGCAAGTTTCTGGCCCTGGTACACGTAATTTACAAAAACTTTGCAGGAGATTCTGATGTTGCTGATAATACAAAACATGACCACCCTCCTGTCTTGCCCATAAAGGATGAAAACATTTGCTGAGAGGGGAGCCTACCACTTGAGAATAACTATTTCGTATCCTTACTTTGGAATTCAATACTTTAGTATTGAGTTGTCAATACTAGCTATCAACTTTTTTGAGGGGCTAAAAATTGAGCTCAGAGACTTCTGCATATTAAGTCCACACTCAGTCACTAAACTATACCCTTAACCAGTTACCAATTTTTAAACATCAGGAGGCTGAACCAAACTGAACAGCTTCAAGATGAAACATTAAGTAGTGACTTTATATGTCATCATCTGCAGAGACACCAACAGAAGTAGGTGTGGCACTGCACAGAGGCTCTGATAAGTGGTAACAGATGGCTCTGCTGATGGAAGACACAGGCTGGAACTACATGCACATGAGGCCTGGTCAACTGCACAAAGCTATGGTGACTAGTAAAGCTAAGAATGCAAAAAGTATTTTCCAAGAGCAAGTTCACAATTTGAACTTAAACTCACATGTGAGTCTTTCCTTCAGATATAAAGAACCTTGTGTACATTTTGAAATTTGGGTTCATTAACTGGTTCCTTCTAGTTGGAGGAAGGTCAAGCTTAAACAATATATTCTTATTTTTCATGTCTACTGCATAAGCCATTGAAGGAATAAACCCTTATAAGCTCCTGAACAATCGAGGTAAGATGGTATTTATTCTAGGATTCTGAATTTTTACTTTCCAAATTCAGATTTTGCAAGGTAATAAATACTTTCTATAATTCTTGAGATACTTACCATCTGCTTCTTCCACTTCAAAATATCTGTAGTTAAAATGGATAGTGGGAGCATGAGGATTCTTAGGATGGATAACAGAGCTCACACCCATAGCAGAAAATGGTAATTTACCTGGAAAGTAAAACAGGGAGAGAGTACATTCAATTTCCAGGCTTGAAATACACAAATTAACTCTCATGTGGTTTCTGAATCAATTTAAAAGATGTTTTCCAATATGTTTCTCAAAATATAATTTTCAAAAAGTAATTTTGGACATGGTTATCTAGTATATGTATCCATCCAAATGGTGTTAATTTATCAATAAAACTTACGGAAAAAACGGTTGCAGAGATTATTGAAGACTGTTAAAATAATCTCAATTTACCATCTTTAGTCTTCAGAACTTTTCCTCTGCTTCTCATCTGTTTTGCTGCTTCTTCAGAAAGATTCCCATGAACAACAGAAATGCTCACTCCAGCCTTTTCAAAAACACGACCATCCTGAAGTACACAGCTGATGCCACCACCTCCTATTGACAGAAAAGGAGAAACACGAAAGAATGAGTATGCAAAACTGAAAACAATCATTACATGAAAGTGGGAGAATCTGGTGCTATTTTCCTTATTGCGTCTCAATTTTTTTACAGAATAATTTTTATGTATAAAGAAATCAGACAACTATTCATCTTTATGATAGAAGGCACCAATAGTGGGCAACTACTAAACCTTCCCATACTGCTAAGCAAGTATTTCTTCTACATTCTTACACAATCATCCAAAATAAATCACCAGATTACACTCTCTTCCAATACTACTATACACAATGGAATCCACAAAGGTATGGTATGAAAGAGAAAACTAAATTTAAAAATAGGAATGAGTATACATAAAGCATATTCTTTATGGCTAAATTTAAGAGTTGAATATTGTTAAGAAAATATTTTTTCTCAGTTTGATGTCTGCCTTTTAGTTTTGTTTACAGGCAATTAAAAACCAATAGAAACTCAAACTTGTAAGGAATTCAGAACCTTAAACTGAGAGACATTGGTATTAGGTGGGTAAACATCAGTACTAGCTTTTGTTTTAAGACACTAGGATCATCACAGTTTGCTGCTCAATAAAGGTTCATGTTTGGCTTGTTTTTTCAAAAGCTTTCAGGGCTTGATGGGTCATAAGATGATCTAGGATAACCCCTGTACATTCCAGATAAGAAAATTGAGGTCCCTAACGCCAAAACACTATCTGTGAAGATCACACACCTGGCAAAAGATTCAATTTCTCCACTTGCCATTCGTTTTTCTAACAATACTCTAAGTACTTTACATTATTAATCTCATTTAAATTTCATACTACACTTTCATAGCGTATGTTTCATCTCATTTTATAAATGGGGGAAAAGACACAAAATAAGTAACTTGTAAAAGTCACACAACTAGGCTCATACCTGAGATTGGGGACTTAATTCAGTGGCCTTCAGTGGAACACATTACAAGATAGAAAACGCTATGAAAATCAGACTGAACTGTATTTAATACAAATGTGGGAGAATCTCAGCTCAAAATCTGTTGGCAGGAAGATGCTGCGGTATTCCTAGCTAGGAAAAGTCAGAAATTCTTCAAGTATATTATCAAGATGAGACATTCGACTGTGAGGCAACAATATGGTTGCTAGTATATGCCTCTGTACGAACTGTGTTTTGTATTTTAGTATTTTGGCATTGAAAGGAAGTATTTCGGGGCTGGGGATTAGCTCAGCGGCATAAGTGCTTGCCTTGCAAGCAGGCGTCATGAGTTCGATGCCTGGTACCGGTAAAAATAAAAATAAAAAAAAAAAAATAAAGTACTTCTAACATTACGTCTGATAGGTACTTTTGGTTCAGCAACTGAGAATCCAAATATTTTCCGTGCAACAGCAAATAGAAGTGGGGGAATTCAAGACACTATGAGAACCTTGGAAGGAGGAAGCTGGCAGATGCACAGCATTAAGAAACTGAGTTCCTTTTTTTGGTCAAGGGAGACCAAAAAAAAAAAAAAAAAGGCACTTCAACAAGTACATGAAATATGGGAGAAATAACAAATCTTGAACATACAAGCTTGTTGGCTGTAAATATTCGTTAATTCTACAGCATTACCAAGATTCTAAAATGGCTAGTACTTGCCTGACAAAAAGATAGGAAGACACACTGACCAGCACTGGGCTGCTGTCCGTCTCTGTGGCGGTCTTCTTAACCGTGTCCTTGTAACCTAGCAATCCCTAAGTGGATATTCACGATATCCCCCGTCCCCAATTCTTAGTCATTTTCTGCAGTAAGCCTAGAGCCAAGACCTCCCTATCCCCCATACCTAATGTCCACCTTTTATCGGGCTTCCCTCTGCCTCCTCACCTTCCTTCCTCTCCCATCGGTCCACAGAGAAGCTAGCGCCCCCGTCTACCTGCGCCAGCGCCTGGCACACCTGGGCCTGGGTCTCCAGGATCAGTAGCTCCATCTTGGTCTTGATGTCGCCCGGCCTCCTCCGCAACTCGCTCAGGTCAGTCACAGGCGGGGCCATGAAGCAGCTGCAGCGCCGGCTCAGCTCGTCCTCTGCCTCCTCCTGGGCCGCCGAGGGGCCCCGCGCCACCGAGCTCTTAGGCACCATCTCTGCGCGCTGCACGTGCCCGAAGGCGGCGGCTGCCAACCCTGCTAACCCCGCCAGCGCCGCGGCCAGCCCAGTGCCCAGCCGGGCGCCGCCTCTCGCCGCGGGTCCGTTCCATAGTCCGCGGCAGTGCACGGAACCGGCCGTGCCAGCCGCGCAGCGCCCTGACCAGGAGGAGCGCAGCTCTCCGCAGCCCACCCGGGCCGCGCGGCACCAGGGGCCTGAACTCAGCCTGCCCAGGTACAAGGCCATGGTTTCGTGCCGCGGGCCTGAGAGAAGTCTTGAAGCGCGCTAAGGTTCCGGGGCAACCGCCCTACGCCTGAAAAGAAACCTGTCCTGAAGGAGAGCGACGGCGGGTTTGCGCCGGGGCGGCGGGCGAGCGCTGAGATCGCTGGGAGTTGTAGTCCGGTCCTACAGCCCCTGGTTTCCGCAGAGGGCGCCTGCACTTTGGGATAAGAATCCACCACGCCCAGAAAGGCTGGTGGGAGGGGTAAACAGAAGTGCCCGTGTAAACCTGGAGAGATAAAAGAAGCGGTTTTGTCACGTACAGCCTAGAGTCTGCAGTTTGCTCAGCCACAGCAAAAAAGACAAAAATAGACCTGCCAGGCTGAGGATGCGCAGGGCAGAAACACAGATGAGAGACCCCCGCACCTCACCTGGCCCTTGGCGTCCTGTTTCAAAGGTTTGAAAAATACCGATCCTTCTTGATAACATGGGACTGTTAATTTGCCCTTGGTCCTAGAACTTTGAAACTTCAGGAGCCTGTAGCCTCGGGAGCAGAACCTGAAAAACTCCTTGTGTAGATGTTCTAAAGAAAAGATAATAAAGGACTCCTGAGGCAATCCCGGGAGAAGACTTCCTGGGATCAAGTCTACTTCGTAGTACTGTTCTTATAATCTTCCCAGGCCTTCCTTCTATCTGCTTATTTGATGTTTAAAATACGAAGTGCAAAGTGACATTTTATTCATCGTGACCTGATATGATTGGGAAATGTTTTCCAGTTTTTATTTTTTTATTAGTGTATTGCTTGCATTACATAATGATCACATTCCTTGTAGGGAGTTGGCACATGTACACAACACTTCTCAATTCCTTCTTCCCCCACTTTCCTCTCTTCCCTTCTCCTCCCTCCATCTCTTGATGCCTTTCCCATTTGAAAAGGATAAAGACATCCGTCCTACTATTATATGGTGCTCCCTTACTTTTAAAATTTGGTTTGTGCAGTAAGCATATGAAGTAAGCAGGGCAAACATCCACACTGTGATCTACTGTTTCTGTCTCCCTTCTCCCTAAGCCCCGCTCTCCACCTTTACTTTAAGAAAATGATGTAAGAAGCTAACCAGTTTGATATACAGGTTTTTTGTTTCAGTTCTATGGTGCCTAAATACAAAGGGATGGTGCCTAGACATAAAAATAATTATCTTAACACTTTGTACAATGGAGTAATTTGTCTTTCAAATATCAAGGAAGATTTCAATTTTTAGTAGCACATAGTAAATTAAGGCACTCATCATTAGTTTTCTTTCCAATAACTGGATAGCCACACACAGCCATGTCCAGCAACTCTCACACTAGTACATAATGGTGGTTTGGTGAATATGTTTGCCTAAGCTTAGCAGCCAAGAGTCAGTGAGGGTAAAGGCCTGGATCGAGTAATGAGTCAACTAATTACACAACAGAAAAACCATGAGTTTGTGGCCCTAGTGTAACCTACCAGAGGCCCAAGTAAGAAGAAGTGCAAAGCAAAGATAAGCATTATCACTTTAGGCAGGGTTTTTGCTTCTTGTGGATTCCTGTGATGGGGTTTGGTTGGACCTGTGATGATAAATGAATTAACATAAAGGAAACACTGTGGCACATTTATCTGTAAGAAGCTTGTTCAATATTGCTTCAATTCTGCAAATACCCAAAATATGAGTAAGAGATAAGCAGCAAGCAACAGACCATTTAAAGTTTTTTCCTATTCACAAAAGCTGAGCCTGAGCAAATTATGTACTAACTCCAGGTTTCCATCCTTCCCAGTCTTTCATGTCTTTGTACAAAGTTTTCTCTACTTTCATGCTCTGGTTCATAGCATCAACGTTACCTCAATCTATTATGAAAATTTCTGAGAAGACATTAATAAAATGGTTTCAAGCTTCACATACTTCTTAGAACCCTTATGACTTTTACTCTCAGCTTATGACTTATCCTATGATTTGACACCTGCTTATGAATCCTTGTGAATTTTACCCTTTTCATTATTTATGCCATCATTTTAACCATTCTCATAGCATATTAGTATTCCTTTTTTAAGAGAGAATTTCAAGACACCCCAGCTTCATCTCTCTAGTTGTCTGTCTTCTGGCAATACAATCTACACCCTATAAGTCCATTATTTTTATTAAATTGTATCATTTTCATCTGTTCCCACACTTTTCCAGAGCCAAATGTCGGAAATTTACTATCAAAAATGCTCTCACTTTTGTTGCTTTCAGGTTCTAGAAACTCAAGCTAATCAGTAACAAAGAATACTAAATATATGTGTTTGTGCTGGCAGGCTTCTGCCCTATTTAGACATTCTGGTGAAAGTTACACAGATTGTTATTAATTAATAAGAGGAATTTTTGAAATGTTTTACTTTGATTTTGTTTTAAAATTTAAATTTTAAACATCAGATGATTACAGACAAATGCTTACATATATAGATGGTGGGAGTGGATGGGAGGGAGGGAGAAGGAAATGAAAAAAATGACGTATTATATACATGTACCAACTTTTACAAAGAATATAACCATTATGCATTGCAAACATATACCAATGAAAAAGAGTTACCTTAAAGCCATATGTAAATTAAATATCTAATATGATTGAAGTTGGTTTGTTTTTTCTTTAACAGAAGTAACTTTTAATTAGACTCTCACAGATGTACAGATATTGTTCAAACATTTAAAGAAAGGTTCATAAAAAGGATACGTTCATAATGCCTGCCTCTCTTGTACTTTACTTTTTGCCTTTATCTTCTCTATGGTAATGAGAATATGATGCTTGAACTTTTAGAAACCACTTTGTGATCAAAAGCATGAAAGCTCCATTAAAATTATATGTGAGAATATACTGACTGAGGAAAAAAACTACATGATGTCCTCTGTACTGTTGTGTCTAAACAAATGTGTCAGGAAGAACAAACTTCAGTCAGTTTAACAATTTTGTTATGAGTACTTTTATTTATACTTAGCACTAATTTAAGCATGTTTGATGGTTTCCTGATTGAGAATAAACAATAGCCCGAGTAACAAAGGGTTAATGAACATCACACTAAATACTTAATCGATTCTCTCTCTTCCAATTTTCATCTAAAAGGGACAAGAGGGGGAAAAAATGATGGCCCTAAGTCTAAAAGCATCCCTTTCTGCAGCAATTAAACTGACCAGGACCTACTAAAGACAATTAATGATATAAAGCCATGACAGATATGAATAAAATCTACCTTTTGTAGAGTGGGTGTGATATGTGCCACATAGCAGTTATGGTTCAATGAGGCTGTGATCTTCCATTCTTAACAAGTACTTGTGTTGGAACGTGGACTTTCAATATTCAAATTGAATTTCTAAGAGAAATGGAAGTAAATGACAGAGACAGTTATCTGGCAATATTTATATAAATTTTTGTGACAAAAATAAATTTAAAGTCTTATAACCCAATGAAATCATTGACTGGAAACCATTTATCATGACAGAGCATTCGAAGAGAGGGCACATGTCTTTAAAATCATTTAGTATGCTACAAACATTAAAATAAGTATATCCTGAATCTTGGTGGTTCTGTAAGACACTGTTATGGTTGATACATTAAGTCAACTTGAAAAGTTTAGAAGTTTGACTAAGAGACTCAGTAGGGAGCCAGGACCCTTACTTTGTAAATATCCTCATCCTGTGCAAGAGGAGTGCACAGAGGTTTTATGAGTTCTACATCTTCTTGGGGGACTGGGACAGGCGTGGCCCGCGTACACTACAAGGAGGAAAAGGGGCTTGCTCTCCCCTCTGCTTTTGCTCTTGCTGCTTTTGCTGGCTGCTGCCTTGAACTGTTTGCCCCAGTGCCATGCTTGCCTTAGCGCCAGCTAATTATGGACTGAATCATCCAAAAAAAAACATAAGCTAAATAAACTTTTCCTTCACTAATTTTGGGTGTCAGGTGTCTTGTCTCCGCAATGAGAGAAAAGTAACCAAAACAGAAACAAATGAAAAAGATCTGATATTTCAACCACAGTTGTGTAACACTCATGTGTACAGCAGAGGACACTAGTACACTGGTCTCCAAACCAGTGTGTAGCGAAATCACCATGGGATCTTGTTAAACATGTATATCCTTCTGTTGTGGAGAGGCTGGTGAGCCTGCATTTTAAATGAATGAGAAGCACTATTTGAGCCCACAGTTAGACAGTGATTCGTGGAGCCCAACTGGCAGTTTGAAACTTAGCCTTGTCTAGCTCTGAGGCTCAGTTCCCCTATCCATCAAATGAAGTTGTAAGTATCATACCTCTTAAGTAGTGGTGATGATTAAATGAATTACTTAAAACAGAAATATCAGGTCATAAATAATAGCTTCATTATCGCAAATATTATTTTTAATAAATGTGTTCATTGATGCTAATGAAGGAGACATGAGAACCATTCTTGGGAAACACAGGACTATTCTAAAAATAAAAAAAGAAGAATTTTTGACACTGTATCCATTAGAATTCTGGTTTTGACCTTTGACTAGAATAATAATGGAATGGCAGGAACTAAAGGTGCACAGTCAAGGATGGAACAAGACGGGGTTACTCTTTGTGTGTTGTGCCAAGGAGTTTTTATTTTATTCAGAATTCAATCAAAATCCATCAAAGACATTCAAGCATAAGATAGTAGCACTCTGGAGGCACGTAAAGGATAAAATATAAGGGGTGAAGCTGGAGGTAGAAGATAAAGAAACAGATACAATGCCGCTCCTTTCCCAGTCTCAGAAAAGATCTCCAGAAAACAGTGGAATTTTTTGCATCAGTGATTTTAATACAATTTGAACCTTACAAATTCATTTCTTCTTAAGAGGTCAAAATAGAGCTTGAACTGAAACACTCTGGTGCAACCTTATCCAATACCTCATGCAAACTCTCTATTTCTCACTATCCTGTAGTCAGCCTTCCTAGGTTTTGAGGAGGTCCTGCAAAGAAGACTTGTGTAAACAATTCAGTCACCTGGACTGCTCTCTACAGCATCAGAGGATGACAGAGGGACGTTTTGGCCATCTCTCCTAGTGAACCTGTAGATACTAGGATAGATTTCTAGAAACTATGGCAGCTTTGAAGGGTCTGAATTAAAAGACATTGAAAGAAATGTCAGTTTTGCTTATCATGCAAAAGCCACAAAGGGTGGAGCCGCCACAGGGGAAAGAGAAGAGGCTAAAGAAGAGAATTAGAGTCACTTGTCATTGGCTCTGCCTAGAATTCAACACTGTCCAGTGACCATCAAGTTAGCAGTG